TGGGAAGATTTCTCACGTAAAAATGAGATTTATTTTTCATAGTATATATTATAAAATTATAATAAATTGAAATATTATTAATACTTTAACACCTTGTAGCTACGAAACAAAGCAGAATCGGACCCTATGTTGATATGAAAAATAAATCTTATTTTTACGTGAGGAATCTCCCCACGAGAGATGGCACATATTTTTTGAAACACCCTGTATAAATAAAAATTTTCTCTGCTTATTTTACGTTTTTATATTAATTGTTCTAGAAAGAGAAGTGAAAGATCCTATGACTGACAATGAAATGACAGGTAACTAAATTTTAAATTTGGCCAACCTGATTTTTTTGCATTTGATAGAGATTTCTATACGTATACGTATGGTAAAAATAATTAATTGTGCACTTTTGTTATGTACTTCTACATTTTTAACGTTTAGCTAACTGTCCAATTGAATAGTCTTTTCACTTTTTGCACTTTTTTGTTTTTTGAAAAATGGTTTTGGAAGAGTAGGCCACCCAAAACCAAACACATTTAGAACATTATCTTCACTACATGCATTACAAACTATTTGTATAGGCCATATAAATGATCCTAATAATATTTTATCTTTAATTTAGTATAAGCAGCCAACATGGAAATTTTAAATATACTAGTTGAAGCAGGAAAAAAATACTTTTTATTTTTTGTTTAATTAAATGAAAAATCAAAACAAAAAATCCGGCGACGACAGTTTTTAGAAGAGCCAATTAGCTATCTTTTAGTAAAAAAAGTAACTTTCTAGAGCAAGTCGTGACTTCAGTAGAGACGACACAGATAAACATTAGCATTTTATATATGTAGATTTTAGGTATAATATTTTATTCCTAAGACATCTATTATTTTAATTCAAGAGTAGACTGTATTTTTGTCATTTTTTTGGATGTTGCTTGTAGCGGCTATTATACCTTCATTTATTGGACAGAGTGTAGGTATGTAACCGGTACAAAAATCATAAATTATAATTTTGCAAAAATATCTCTGGATAGTTTTGAAAAAGTCAGCAATAATTAACTTTAGTAAAAGAAATTGGTTATTGGCTTTAAATATTAGAGAAAATAAGGCAATAATTTACATAAACAGTTCATATAAATTTTAACACTTGCTCAGTTATTTTTATGCTTTTACAAATAACAAAATCGATCGCCACTCTTTGTTTACATTAATCGAGGTCTGTGTTATAATTAATTGAAGCTTTTCTTTGGGTGTTTATAATTTTATGTAAAAAACACTTTACTTTTCTTAATAAATAGCTAACTTTATTTGTTTACTCTTTTACAAATAATATTACTATTAAAACAAAATCAGCAATTTATTGAGTTTATATCTTACTTTCTATCTATTGGTTACCATAGTGTACCATTTTTTTCCAAAAATATTCAATATAAAACCCTCATTAAAATGTTTAAGACATATACAGGGTGGCGCCTCTCATACGCTGCGGAAGCTCCAAGGAGAACGGTAGTTTGTATCGAAATAAAATTTTGGCAGCATATGTAGGTTAACTGAAACCATTTTATAAAAATACACAGAATTATACAGGGTGTCCCCAAAAAAAGTTACACTTCAAAGTTGTGTTTTTTCTAATGGGAAATTTTGTGAAAATAAAGACTAAATTTTAAATTTCGATAACAGCTACCTAAATTTTAGTTGACCTTGTATAGCCTGATATTTAATTACAGTAACCATTGTATGTTAAACCAAATTAAAATTTGACTCGAAAAGTTATACAGGGTGAGACAAAATTAATATGGAACATTACTCACTTTTAAACGCAAGTTATTCCTTTATTTTAAATGGAACACCCAATATATTGAATTTATATATCTTTTTTTGTTTTAACTGACACAAAATGATAACTAGTTGTTAAAGTTGGATTAATTAGACAGCTATGTTGAAGTAACGTCAGACACATCAGAGCCACCTAGATTTTATCAAATAATAAAGATCTACTGTCACTAAATCATAAAAATATCTAGGAAAATCTTGGTTTGAGGAGTAGGGAACCTTAATAGTATTTTAAAGAGACATGAATTCTCCATTGAATATCGAAATAATATACTGGGTGTTCCATTTAAAATAAACGAGTAACATGCTTTTAAAGGTGACCAATGTTCAATATTAATTTTGTCTCACCCTGTATAACTTTTTGGATCAAGTTTTAATTTGATTTAAAGTACAATAGTTACTTTAACTACATATTAGACTATACCGGGTAAATTCCAATTTAGGTAGCTTTTATTGTAATTTAAAAATTGATCTTTATTTTTAGAAAATGTTAAATATGTCAAAAACCTTACATTTTAGTCATACACTTCTCTTATAAAACTCACCTTTATTTTTCTCCCAAAATCCGAAAATCATTTAATATATAGGGTGTTCTATTACAAAAAACACACCTTTGATGTGTAACTTTTTTTGGGGACACCCTGTAGAACTCTATGTTTTTAAAAAGTTCTCTGAATTAACCTACATATGCTCACAAAATTTCATTTTAATACAAACTGTCGTTCTCACTGGAGTCTCCGCGGCGTCTGAGAGACGCCACCCTGTACAGGGTGGGTCAAATTCGATGCTTTTAAATGGAAACACCATTTTCTATAGGAGATAGACAAAAACTAATATCGGTGTCTGGAGCTCAATTTTTGTCAAAAATATGATGGTGAAAACCGCATATCGATATCTGTTACCGTTTCGGAGTTACGGGGTGTTTTTCAAAAATATGCATTTTTAACAAATCGCTGTAACTTTTTTGCTATGGAAAATTTTGTATTTTTATGAAGACATTTCCAATAGAGTATATAACAATTCGGCAGCTTTAAATAAGTAGGCTTTGAACGGCACCGGCTGTAATGCAAAAAATTCTAGCTGTGAGCATCAATTAAAACGAAAATAATATTTGCTATGAGAGATGCAGAATTGTATAACAATTTAAAATATATTTAACCAACACATTTAAAAAAAAACTAACTAAACTAAACTATATCTAATAACAATCAAAATAAATAGCAAACCAAGACATGAGATTTTGCTACAGGTGTTCGACATATCGACCGTCTTCTGTTATGGACAGACGGGGCAGTTTTGGAATATTTCTCGCGGAATTCATTAACTCAGTAGGGGTGAAAGATACCCTCTCATAACTGCTAAGTATTTCTAATTCTTGTCTAGATTATACGGAAGAATCTTCTTAAGGTGCCGTGCAGATTCCTGCGTAGGCCGTTCATCTTTTTCTTCCTCATCAGATTGTTCTGTTAACTACAGCGACTTGGAGTGCTTGGTCCTGGTGCTTGGTGCAAGTCCTGTATGCCTGTCCAATGACGAATATTTCTCAGCCAGGATAGCTTCCTTCGGCCTATTCCCCTTTTGCCCCCTTCTATTTTACCCTGGAGAATCAGACGCTGAGAGTGATAGCGTTCTCCACGTAGTATGTGTCCCAAATAGGCTATTTTCCTCTTCTTGATGATTTCGAAGAGTTCACGTTGCTCCAGACTCAGCTCCAGACACAGCTCCTCTAAGAATGTCTTCATTCCTCTACACTGTCGACCCAGGGCACTCTTAGCATTCGTCGTAGGGCCCACATACGGAAGAATAAGGAACCTTTATTCTTCCGCAAATATATCCATAATATTAGATCCATGGGCACTAAGTCAGGCGGCCTCGACGGCCAACGGCTGGGATCTTGGTTGGCTATTCAATTATTCTTGAAATTGACTGCAAAAATTTGCTGATAACTTCAGCGTTCAGAGGCGGTGCGTCGTCTTGCTGGAAAAATATGTTTTCGAGTTCCATTAAGGGCATATCATCAATGAGGGGTCCAAAGCCTACTAGTTAAAAGTGGCGAACTTTTAATGGATTATAACAAAATATCAAGTGTGCTATATTTTTGGAAAGGTAATTTTAAATTCTTTTCAGCTAATTACTAAAATATACAGGGTCTCCCATATAAAAAATCAAATTTTCTGTTGATAATTCTTAAATTATTAATTTTAAAAAAATTATACTTAAACCATTAAATTCTACGTAAAAAGGTGCTTTGGAAATGTTTGCATAAAAATACAAAATTTTCCATAGCAAAAAGTTACAGCGATTTGTTAAAAATGCACATTTTTGAAAAACACCCCGTAACTCCGAAACGGTAACAGATATTGATGTGCGGTTTTCACCATCGTGTTTTTGATGAAAATTGAGCTCCAGACACCGATATTAGTTTTCGTCTATCTCCTATAGAAAAGGGTGTTTCCATTTAAAAGCGTCGAATTTGACCCACCCTGTACATATATTCATAAGAAGATATTTTCTTAGAATAGGTCCAAGAATCACTCCGCCCTCTGTATTAAATACTAAAATATAAAAAATAATCGCATACCCCAAGGCCTACTATGACACCATTTTTTTTTCTCTCAACCATGTGACATAAACTTTCAATGTTAATCTCGCTGCGTATATTACCTGTACGATTTATAAACTACCAAGTCCGCATTTTTTCTCGCTGTTACCCACTCAATATATCTTGGAGATTTATGACAATGCCTGCCCTTATACTATGTTATAGATCCCGCAATCATGTTGTTGATAAATAAAACGATCACCTTCCCGCGCGTCAAGTGACCTGGTGGTACCTTACCATTCTTACCAAGTACTACCATACCAAGGTGACGGAACGTATCGTATCTAGACCGGTGCTCCACCAAAATAATATCCAAAAGAATCAGTCTGGTATTGTTGTTTATCGTGCTGGGTACTTTACACCAGGGGTACTATCATCTTAGTAATATTCGCGAATTCGCGACTACTACGGTATCTTTATACGTTTTTTAAGGTGATCTGGACTGATTGGAGTTAACCTGAATCATTATGGGTTAGTATACAGAGAATACATATTTTTTTGTTTTTTTTGTGTTTGTTTTATTTTAATGTTTTTTTTGTAAGTGTTTTAAGGTTATAATAAAGGGTTTCTTTGTGTTTCAGGGTTGGATTTTATTGAAGGACAAGGAGAAGATTTTGAGAGAGCATTAGAAAGTACAGGTAAGAGCATTATTGTAATAGATTTATTTTTTTATCGTTATTTATTAATTTATTTTTCTTTCACTAATTTTGCTTTATTTTTTAATTGTTTTTTTCTTGAATTAAATGCTTTTCACCTACAAGTTTAGAGTAATAATTGTTCTATGTAACAGTAATTCTGTCATTTCAAATATAAAAATAATATACGTACAGAGTGTCCCATTTTCGTGTGTTTTATGTTTTATTGTGCTACTTTTTTATGACACTAAAGATACTACATTTGATAAAGATGCCCCTTTGGTTTCTGAAATACAGGGCGAATTTTAAAATTTTGCATTTTTTGACTCCCCTCGTATCTCGGTTTTTCTACAACTTATCGAAAAGGCGAAAACTAAAGATTCGTAGAGTTTTTCACGTAGAATCCAGGGGCGTAACAATTTGTTTTTCTGGGAGCTGTTATTTTCGAAATATGACTTAACTTAGATGTTTTTTTATAGGGGACACCCTGTACATTAATTTTTTATTTGGTTTGTCTTTATTTGTTTTTGATTGCAGTATCGTTATTGGTTAGTATTTTTATTATTATGAGCATTCTAAAAATTTACTACACTCTAAATTTATTTTCATAAATATGGTAAAAAAAATAAATTATTTAACTTTCAAACATAAATCAACCTAGTTTAAAAGAGTATTATTATTTTATTTTATTTTATTTATCCAGATAATTTTGCTTTCTGTCGTGGTATCTCAATGAACTGCACTGAACATGAACTTGTGCAGCTTTTTGCTAACACTCTGTTCAGAGTTATTGATATTTTTGAGGCACTTGTGCAATAATTCTATATACAGAATCTAGCGTGGAATAGTCAATAATTTGACGTCGAATAAATTGTTTGATTGCTTTGATTATTTATCTACCGAATTATCGATAAAAATGGCGTCCTGTTGGTTTGGAAATGAACACATTCCCGATATAATTTTACATATAAAATGATAACGATGTTCATTTTATAGCCATCGCTGACGTCGTTTTTTAGTTGATCATACCAACAGGTATGGTAGGCTATTAAGATCGGCAAAAAAAGTTGTTTTAATTTCACTGTCTGTCTGTCTGTCTGTCCGTCTGTCTGTAACACAAGATAACTCAAAAAAACCGCTAAACCGATTTTAACCAAATTTGGCACAAAAATACTGTGGCACCCGAGAATCTGGCCATTAGTTTTTGGTGGGGGTGGGGGGTTGGTAAGGGGGTATGGGAGGGGGTTAAAAATTTAAAAAATCGTAACTCCAAAATTATAGTAGCTAGCGGAACGCGGTTTTCAATTTAAAGATTAGGAATATTTCGTCACACAATTTACATTTACCTGCTACATACCTAAACCACAACAATTAAGGCCCTCTTCAACAGCCTCTGGTAAATTTACAAGAACCCACAGGTAACCACGGAAAAAATACAGGTGAAAATCTTTGGTAACCTTCTTGGCCATCCGACTGTCGCAGTCCCGTATTAGTATAACTACTTACGTGCCTCCCAGCGCCATTTTTTTTTTCGATTATGCTGTATTTTAAAGCGGCCCGGTCTCCTATTTTTAAAAGTTAAATAATGGATTTTTTACCTTATTTAAGAAATAACATAACAAGACAAATAAAAAAATACAGGGTATTCCAGTTAAAAGAACCTAAGTTTGGGCGATATTTCGAGAATGACACCTCCCATCGAAAATCTAGTTTAAATCTTTGTATCTCTACTCACAAACGAGAAACCTCATAAAACACACAAAAATGGGACATCCTGTACACTCGATTTGATCAATGGCATTTTTGTAAAAACCAAGTTTCAGTTTCTTAGTGTAGACAGTTTTTGAAAAATGTTGATTATGTCCAAGCAATCAAATTTCGTTTTATAAGTCCTACGTTAACTCAATAAAATTTGGTGAGAGTCTTTTGCTCAGAACCCAGAACCAAAGATATATACAGGGTAAGTCTTAAATAAGTGCAAATATTTTTAGGGGTAGTATTTTTCGACCCAAGAAATACGATAATGAGGTTTTTTCGCGAATTTTTTTTTTTGAAAATTTGGAAGGTAAAAGACATAATTTCTTGATAATCTGGCAACATAGAGAGTAGATTAAATTTACAGAAAACAAAACCCAGAAAAGATCCAGTGGTTCTCAAAATTTAAGCAAAAAAAACATTTGTTTTCCGAATTTTTAAAGTAAAATAACTCTGTTATTTTGGACTTATTTGAAAAACAGTAAAGAGAAAATATGTTTCTTCTATGGAGATCTACCAGCCCTGAACATTTTTGCACTTATTTAAGACTCACCCTGTATTTATATTCTCTCAATTCGTTTCTTAAATTTTACAATTTCTTATTTCATCCTTTTTTTTAATTTATACCCAAATCAGAATTCTATTTATTTTAACGTCGATGAACATAAATAAATTGTTATTTCTTTAAGTCTGGTACTCTATATTTATAATTCCATTATTTTTTTGTGACTGTGTAACCAAATAGAAGAAGGCGTTTGGCTGATCAGCCTTCGTGTTGCTTTTTGAATTTGGCGCCTAAAATAGACTTCTCATAATTTATAACTAAAGAATTTTCTCTCAAAAATAGACCCACCGAATTTTCCAGGGCTTGACCTAGTTCAGGTTGCGTTTAATTATTTTTTTCTATTAATATGAGGAGAAGGAAAAACAGAGGTAAACACGTGCTGGTCAATAAAATTAATTAATAATGAGACCTTTAATTTTTATAGGTCTTAGCTTAATTAATGTGCTATAATTTGCTTAACATTTATACGATTGTAGCAGGAAATACGTTTTTTGTGCTTTATAGATTTAGCTAAATATTAATTAAGCAATACACAATTCCTACTGTCGAAAAAAAACGGGTGTCAAAGTTGGCTTGGAAATTAATATCGTTGTATTATAAAGAAATTATTTTTTTTAGTAAAAACTGAGAAAATTTTCCAAAAAATATTCAAAATTCTTTTTTCGCGAAAAATACCTCATTGGCATGTTTCTGGGGTTGAACTATACTATAGTACAATTCTTTTAAAAATACCTCAATATGGCCGACCTAGTTACGAAAACTGGTAATTTTTTTTTTTTAATGAAAAATAAGATGGCGTTAGCGAATTCAGAAATTGATTTTACTCTTTGGTTAACATTAACATTTTTCAGGATTGTCAAGTTGACGTTAAAGTTAAGTTATTAGGTGGTCGTCATAAATCATAAATAAAAACAGATTATTGAAAATATTTAATAAGTATTAAGGTATTTTACCGCAGATCCGAAGAGATTTTACTTAAAGGTATTTTATAAACTTTCTCAGTGAGAATATTAACTCCCCTGTTTCTTATATTTTAGTTAAAGAGACGCAAGAACTATAGGAAGTGAATTTTTGTTTTCATGTTTTGACGATATCTGAGAGTTCCTAGAATTATCAAGATTATTGAATAATTATGTTGTTTAATAAGTGGAATTAATAGAAGACTTGGAAATAGGATGATGCGTTTCATGTTATAGTTGATCACCCCATTTCTCTTAATTTGTTTTTATTTCAGTACAGTTAATCACAAATTGAATTGAGGTGTGCAAAAACAGCTATATATCTTCAAACATTCTATTTAAATAGTTCTTTTATATACTGTTAAACTGTATCAACTACAAAGTCTTTAGCAAAAAGTTATAAGGTAATAAATTTCGTAGATATAATTTATGAAAATTTATATGTATATAAAGATTAGAACACAATCCTCTGAGGGAAAGAGAAATACTCAAAAACTCATTAAATCCACTTTATTAAAAATAACAACATACAAAAACAGTCATCCATGCAAACTGTAATAATCAGAACATTATCCACATTATGCCTTTATTAAATTTGTGGTCACACTCCTGTCAGAAAAGCCAGAAATATTTGTTTAAATATTAACTTATTTTAAATTGCCAGAAACACATCAGAATATGTCACAACCACAACTATAGGTTTGGAATCAGTACTAAATTTTATACCTAGTAAGTGATACGTCAACTAACAAGTATAGGACAAAAAATAATTATTAATATAGAGTGTACTATACGATGTCCTGCTTATTTATGAAATGACTTTCCTTTCAAATGTGAGGAATACCAGTAAAATAAAACATAATTTTTGGTTTGGTTTGGTGTTTGATATTCTAACTACATCTATTACAAACCTTAAGTGCTTTTAGTGAGTAACTGTATTTTTTATTATTCTTTGTGTATCCTGTAAAGTAAAAAAATATATATTTCAAGAAATATAAAAACAATGCAATAGATATCAAACAGATTCATAAAAACTACTTACAATTATTGTACATATTATATATTTCAAGTGTTATTTGATCTTTGGTCCCATTACCAACATTACCTTATTTAGATCTTCTCTACTAACTCAACTTTTAAACCTGTTTTAAACCTTCTTTATATTTTAAAACTGATTTACAACAATATGTAATGCCCGCGCTGTTTCCTGAAATATAAGTTTTAATCTATTTATATTTATTATCATATACATATTACAAACCTGAAAATTACTGATACGAGGAAACTTCTCAAAATAATTAGAGACCTTTTTACAAACATCTGGACTAATTTATTTTCACGAATTTGTGGACGAGTCAATGCTTTCTAATACGTTTTTAAGTGTTTTACACATTTTGAATATTTTCCAGCCCATTCCTCAGTTCTTGATCGGTGAAAATATTATTTATAACTATATAATTAGTACTGCAGGCTGCAGGTTAAATAAAAGAACAAAATCAAGTAGAATTTGTAAATAAAAACTCAAAAATAATGAAAATATTTAGAAAAATGAACCGTCAACGTCAGACGTCAGTCAGCTAAGTGTCAGAGTTCAGTTAGATTTACCACAGATTATCAATTTGAACGATTTGAACTACAGTCGATTCCAGTCTAGAGATTTTCGTTTTTTAAGCCTCCCATACTGAAGTCCGCCATATTGGGAAGTTTTAAATGAATACAAGTCA